ACAAAAAAATCTCAGATTAAACGATATGTATTATATAATATTCGATGTATATATTCATAGTATGGAGTAGATTCTAACTAATATTTGGATTCACAGCTTCACAGCAAATAACGGCGGAAATTCAATTATTTCCAATTCTAACTAACTATAGTGTTATAGTGTCTTAATCTAAAGATTTTTCTGTCGGAAAGCGAGTGCAAGCACAATAATGAACCGCGATATTGCTTTGGAGTAGGAGAAAGAATGGTGTAGGGGGTGGTTTTCAGTCAGTAAGGAGTCACTTTTTCCTTCCTCAAAAAGGACTACTTAATGATTTTGAATTTAAATGAGTAAATAGTTTCGGCCGTTAATCAGACAATCGGAGATTCTAAGACAATTATTTTTTATTTGTTCATTATATCATCTAAATACATAAATGATGTAACAATGCATTGTAAAAAGTGATTTAAAAAGAGTAACCATGGAGTTTCTTGGTCGTTCTTCTCCATAGGAATCTACACTTTGGAACGAGCAAATAGCTTCACTAGAGGACAGACTGACACATAAAGTTAAACCATATGATATCTTTTTGCTTGACGTTCAAAAGTGCCTTTTGTGTTGTTGGTCTACTTGAAATAAAGAATTTGATTTGATTGATCATCATATTTACCTAGGTACTGTCATTGCATTGTGATAAGCATTAAACATGTCCCGTGCGGAGTGTGTTGATCTCGATCTAGGACACACATTTTTCTTTTCGTTTATAAATTGTTTACGATGCATATCATAATATACGTTGCTATAGTTAATATTTGGTTGTCATAATTGAGCGGATATTTTATATAAATATTTCGCCTTATTATGTTTAAATAATTATATCAATTATTATCTCCTTAAATTGTAATAACCACGATATTAATCATATAACATCAGGTAATTTCTTTGGAAGTTAACCGTGAGAAAGCAAAAATTGGCAAGTGTAACAATTGTCCCCGATAACACAAAGATATGGAATCTCATCCTACGAATGTGACACCCGTGCTTATACCCTTTACACAAGAGTTATATGAGAACCTTTGTTATCTTAAAATCTCACAACTTCCTTTTTCAACAATTTGTGCTTACCTTAATACCTACAGTTAGGTACGATAATTATCAGGAATCCATCATCAGGAAAAGAAGTATATACCATATTTCCTAAAAATGTAATTTTTTTAAATTTCCAATACTAATCACACGGTGCCTACTTCGCTTTTCTTTTATATGGTTAGCACTTACGTACGTAATTTATACACTATCTTTCTAGATCGAGAAACAGAAAAGAAAGTGTTATTTCAATAGACCTGCTATTTTGAGGCATTTTATTGGTTGTTGAAGTTAAACTTAAAAACTGAGAAGAACTGTGAAGTTTGAAGTTGTGCTCCATTTAAATCATAATCACAAGTAAAATATAACACATTACTTCACTTATTGAATTAAATTAAGCGTAGGCTTCAACAAATCGTTAAGTTTAAAAAACAAATTAATATTTTTTATTGAAAATTAGAGTAGATAACGGACTAAAGCTATGAAAAATGCGAATATCTTTTAGAAATCGCGATACAATAAACCAGTACCAAAAAAAACCTTTACTTATCTTATTATAAATGCGAAAGTTACGATGTTTGGATGTTTGTTACTCAATCACGCCAAAACGGCTGGACGGGTCTGGATGGAATTTGGGACAGGCATAGGATATACTCCGGAATACATAAGCTTTTAATTAACTTTAACATAATTTACTTATCTGTACGTCTACCATTATTATGTCTCTCTACAACTCTCTACGACTACAACTTTTAATACTAATGTACAGATAGATTAGGCAAATTTTGTAACCGACCTTAATACAAAAATTTCTAAGTAGATTAAGATCGCTTTTATGTAAGTCTAAGCTGTATGGAGTTTCTGTTGAAAATCAATGTTAATCGATACATTTTAGATTGAAACCGGTTTTAAATGTATGTCTGACGTTTAATGTTTAAGGTTTTTATTAAAATATTCTTATTTATTAAGTCCTTTTAATTTTTTTGCAAACTACGTCATATAACGTAAATTACCATTTAGTATAACGTGTATCTAACCACAACCGTCGGTAAAGTTTTATTCAATACATTACCTATGTTTCTGTGAAATTCTGCCTCCGGAAAAAACTGAGACCATATAGATTCACACTTAAATTATAAAATAAGGCCGTGAACTAGTTTTTATAATAGCAATTATTAAAAAGAATAAGATTACTACAATTTCCTCGTATTTACACAAGAAAAAACTTTCAACGTTAGGTGCATTGCATTGATTTAAAATATGGCATGACATCATTATGTGTGGTATAAAGTATACATATATAAGTACGACGTGGTCCTCACTCCACTGGGTAGGTACAGCAATTCGCTTTATCCTCTATTTTATCTTTAACTTTTCTAATGTTATCTTATCAAAACAAATAAATAAAATAAACTTACCAACTAAACATTGTGTTATTAAAAAAAAATGCACAAAATATGTATCGCTAGTTTGGTGGCTAATTTTAAAGGCGCTTCATTAAGAACGCGACTACTTACTTATACATTTAAATAAATATATCTTTTCCCCTTCAGAATCCAAGATAAAATATTTTTTATTTACTTTATTAGTTCGTAAAATCTCTGATACCTTATTTTATTTTGTATATTCCTTCAATACTAGAAAATTTACACATTTATATTAATAAAATAACACTGAGTCTTTGTACCTTTTTTCTCACGTTAAAAATAGTTAAAAAAACGTGATTCATCCTAGTTCTGAATGGCGACGGTAGACAGGTGAAACAAAGAACAGTGGCGTGGGAAACAATGGCTAAAGAAATTATTAGCAATTTTTAACAAGACCACATTTTTAACAGGTCTGAGAAGTTTGTTTCTCACAAACCAATCCGTCACAAGCCTATTATATACTTAACTATTTTTTAATCTTTTATATTATTTTTTTTTATGATAACTAAACTAGGGTTTTGAGAATTGTTAAAATAAGAGTTGTAGAAAACAATTGAGTTTTAATAAGTTTGTTTTAACATGTTTTAAAACACTTACTAGCGTCTGCCTCCTGTTTTATGCTCGTGAATATAGCATTTTTTTGCGTAACTGTAACTACTTTATCTACATCTACTTGTGTCAAATTTCAAGAAAATTGCTTGAGTTCAAATCCTTTTAATTTAATCAAATAAAACGTAAAAGGTAACATTTGGCATTTGTAATATTGAATGTAATGACTAAGACATGCGCTGTTTCTAAGAAATTTAGTTACCTGTACCTATACTATCTTACGATCGCTTTTTACCAACTCAAAAACTTTTTCCTATAGATACAATAAACTGCTATATTTGAAAGTAGATTAATGATAGTAATACTTAAATCACAATAAATAAAAAAATAACCTAATCAAAATATATGTACGTATCTAATCAATTCTCAATTTAGCACTACAATATCCTTAAAAAGAAAAACACATCATGACTTAATTTTTGTTTATTATGTGACGAGTCGGCAAATGAACTGATGATAGTGAGCAATCGGCACCCCGCATGGGCAATCCCAACACCCGAGGAGATACTAGTAGATATAGTATCAATATTGTAATGTTTCCATTTATTTCATTACAGAGTTACAGTTTGAAACAAATTTACGTGATTCGCGAAAGTATAAAAAAGAAATTAATAATTAAATGTCGAATTACAAAATAACTTAGGATTATGTATATGTTTGATAATAGAAGTAGGCGCAGATAGGTCTGTATTATATTGGATAATGACCTTTTATCATATTCATTGTTGTTTTGTTTTGATTATTACCTGTATCAACACAAAGATTTTGTGGGAAAGAGAACCCTGGGAAAGGTCCTGGTCACCTTTGGGTCACACACAACAAAACCATGTTGTAATAATAATTATTAAAAACTATTTCTTAGAATAGGTACAGCAGAAACAAACGAAAAAATCGCTTAATGAGTATTTAGGTAAATGTTATTTTTTTAAATGGACTACCTACTTTCTCACGGGAATTCGATGAATTCCAAATCATGGTCATTTTTAACAGACAAAAATTTTTTTGAATTAAATCTCATTGTCTTCGTTTTAAATTTAAATAGAATTTTATGCTGCTTTGTAATAAATTGAATGAATTGAAATAGATTTCAGAATATAAGTTAGATAAGTTTATCACATGAAACACATTTAAGTTTCCCATAAACTTGAGTTCTGAATCTTTAATCTATGAACTATTTCTCTCATTTATTTTAAATTCAATTCATTAAATTAATTATTTTGATTGCACCAACATTATTTGTTTTGCAATACTTATATGTATGTATATTGAGGTAGTTGTAAATATGAATTCATCGACACTATGAGGTAAAACCACCGCGTGTGGGTAATTTAAGAAATAATTATTCATCGGCTTATCTCTTGTGCGAATGTTTACGCAGCGGTCGATTCATTCATGAAATAAAACATTTTGTTATATATTATAATTTCTATTTATTCGGAAATTTTTATAGAACTTTTATTTTAATTGATTAATGTCCTCTAGTAAATAAACAACAGTATGTTTACACGTCATTAACAACGAAGAGTAGACAACACTTTACGTATTTACAAATAAAACTAAGAGACTATCTACATAGCTTGGTCGTTCTCAGACTTTATCAATAAATCGCTTAATATATCAACTATCACTGTTCTACATATACAGTTTAAGTAGAATTAATATTATAAATTTAATTTATACAATAATTTACACTTATAGTAAGATTACAGACGTTAAACGAAGATCACAAGAAAGAAAGAAAACAGAGAAAGAAGAAATTCGAAAGAAAAGAGTTCAACGCGCCTACACAGTGTTGTATAAGAATATATAGATTTATAAATGAAGATATCACTAGGCAACGATAACGTAACATAATGGTCACTTAATACTGGTTATTCACATGTACTATACGCACAGCGTTTAGGTGTCAGGTGGGCGCTGCTGGTCAGTGGGGCTGGGGGGCGCCGGCGCCAGCGCCGAGCGACGCAGCTGCTGCAGCAGCGCGGGCTCCAGCGCCGGCCACCAGCCGCCCAGCAGCGGGTATTGAGCGGCCGGAGCCAGCGGGGCCCGCACCTCATCCTCGGTGGCGCGCTCCTCCTGGTCACTAGCCACCACGTCTATGTCTTCCTCCTGTTCCTCCTCACAACTGCTGTCACGTCGCTGTCGCTTCTCAGGAGCATCATCGGGCGCCAGCAGGGAAGCCACATCGAACTGTCTCTTGCGCGCTTGGGCGCCGCCGGGCAGTCGGCCTGCTCCCCAGAAAGGCAGGGGCAAAGCCGTCGGCGGCGGCGACTGAGGCGGTGGTGATGGTGAATCTTCGCCGTCGTCATCAACAGCCAGTCCCATATGTTTCCTTACTTTTCTTTGAGCTTTACGCCTTCGAAAATCTCCCTTGCGAAAGTCTTCAATGTTGGCGGGATGAATCGCCCAATAGTGTCCTTTACCGTTTGCCGATCGTCCAGCTTTCACGAAACAATCGTTAAGAGACAAGTTATGCCGTATTGAGTTCCGCCAGCCAGGTCCACGGGAGCGAAAGTATGGATAGTTGTCCAAAATATGCTGATAGATGTCGGAGAGGACTAGCTTGCGTTCCGGTGAGCTGAGGATTGCCATGGCGATGAGGCCGATATAACTATGCTGCGGCTTCGGCTCCTCAGGCTGCAGGACTCGTTGCTGGAGCAGCGACATGGAGAGGGCCAGTCGGGGGCCGTAAGGTGCGTAGCACGGCGCCACGGATGGCGGATACAAGCGAAGTCGCTCAGCCACCGCATAGTTATACAGTTGCAAACGATAGTGATCCAGAGCCGCGGCGGTAACTGTCGGCGCGTCCTTGCCGAGCGGCCAAGGGCCTCCTTCGGCTCCACTGCACATGTTGCCAGGCGGAGAGCGTGGCGCGGAGTGCCGTCAGCGGGCCGGCGGGAGCGGGCTGCTGCCGGCAGGGGGCGGGGAGCGCGCGGCTGCAGCCAATCAGCGCGCCGCCGCTACTTGTATACGTGTTTTTGTTTAGCGACGCCCCACTCCAGTGGCTTTGCAACTCCACGCGCCCTGCCTTGAGGCTACGAGTACCGACTGCAACAAAATGCTCACACACGAGTTGGCGCTCTTAAGAATCATACATTCTGTATAGATGTTTGAATATACGTACTGTAAATAAATAAAAGTTAATATGTATTATAGGCAATTATACAATAGTATTACAGTTTGAAATCTTTCCTACTTATTATAACTAAATAGAAATAAGTCAATAGGACTGTCCAAGAATTATTTGCTTAAAATTTGATTTTTTATAACACGTTTTGGTAAATACTGTAATGAAGTTATTTTTTTTATTTTAATGCCTAGTCACTTTCATTGTTACTTTTCTAAATACCGTTAGTTTTGCGGTTTTGACTTTATTGAAAATAGCGGTTCACTCATATGAAATAACTAGAAAAGCTCTATCTACTAGTTTCCAGCCAAACAGTCGGAAGACCATGGATAAGAGTCTTGTCGTAATATGAAACTAGTTCACTAATTCACGCGAATAAGTTGTGTAAGGTAAGTCGCAATATGAGTAAGTACTTCTGTAATTTTGTGTAATACCTAATACTAATTATTTAAGTTAAATAGTATATTTGTTATCTAACAACTCAAGAAGACCAATCAATAGCAGGTAATTTTAGAGTTATCATTATGGTACCGAATAGAAGAAACTCTCAGAAATTCGTTTGAAGATTCGCTAAGGTTGGTGTTGCTGTCGGTACTGAGCAAAACCGTTACAAATGACAACTTCGTAGCGAGTGCTTCCCTGTTATTTCAGAGATATCACAACACGCAACAACACATTACTTCTCAGGAGGCGAGCGAGAAAGAGACGCAGATATAAAAATACTCCACCCCTCTACGTTGGATAGGGACAGACTATCGTGCAACAGTTTCACATGTCTCTGCGACGTGGTGATAAGGTCTTATAACCACAAAACCTTTTGAATAACAGTCGATCATATTCCGTTAATATAAGATTGAAATTATCTTGTTGGTTTGTTTGAATTATGGCGTTGTTGGTATAGTAGATAGGCAATGAAAATAAAGAGGCTCGAAGAGCTAGCGTGGCGGTGAGTGCGAGTGGGGCAGCGAACGATATCGGTGTAACGCAACGTCCCGACAATGCAGTTGCCGCCCATTTAAATACGCCATTTTGTTTACTGTCTCCACGGCTTGTGCTTTTGTGTTTTATACAGAAAGCAGTGTTTTGTGGAATAAGTAAATTACAGGAAATATTTACTCGTTTCAGAGTAGACAATGGATACGGCTGCTGCGCGGTACACAGATGACTTGATAATCGATTTTTCTTCCCATCTGCTCATTATCTTCCTTTCGTTGAGCTTATTTGAGTTAAAGTAAGATACCTAATTCACTAGGTTTATATTATGAAGAAGACCTAAATAAAATTTCACTGATTGTCTATAATTAGGTACCTGCAACTATTTTTAAATAAGTACTTATGATTTTTTTATGTCGTCTACAAACTATTTGTTTTTCCTAGAATTAATTACAGTTATAAATAAGATTTTTCTATGTCATACAGTATATTTTTTAACCATGATACATAGTTTGAATTTAATATAAATAGGTAACTGTAATATTAATAAAAACTCTTTGTTAGATACCTACAAAAAATATTATAGATATCGGCTTGTTTTTGATGAATTGAATACTCAGTAAAAACATTTAAACATTTATCGTTTTATTACACTTGAACAAATTAATTTCACCATAGGCCAGCCATCGTTGTCAAATTTAGAATAGATAATCGTTATCGCTTCAGAAAAGAAAGAATTAAGTAATTCGTTTTCCACGTGACTTATCAATGACCTTTACAAATCTCCATGGTATCTACATTTGTTTTGTTTTTAAACTGATAACGATTATCGATAGGTCCTGAACTTGTCTGGAGTAATATAAATATAACAGGAGGGCTTGCCTAGGGCAAAACTGTTAGTATTAGGTACCTACATTTAACTCTGTTTTATTTTTTTTAAAACGTGCACTATGAACTTTGTTGTAGGTATATCTACATATGAAACTGTATTTATGAATTTTGTTAGGTATATGTGCAGAAGTAAGTATATGATTTACATACATTATAATTTACGATTTTTTAAGACAATTTTCTTTACTCTTTTCCCCGTTATAATACTTACAACTTAAAACCAATTATTTTATTATATGGATTCTATCTATTTACCTACGTTCTTTTACAACTGTTCTATAAATAATTATTAATAAAAAAGTAGGTGTAAAAAGCCTAATTTTGAATAGAATTAAAATAGCGTAATAGTAGATATAAATTATTTAAAAAAACAGGCCAAGAGAGAGTCGGACGGACTCCCGTACAGAGGGTCCCGAACAAATTATCTACGCGTTTCTTTTGATGGCATTGACTTAAAAGTTTATTGTTTATATTTGACATGGATTGAAATTAAATATCTTTGCAAATTCATGGGCAAATTAAAAAATCTATTAAAACCACTATTCTTTGTGGATAATTTTGGGGGCAGATACCTACTACTTTTTATAAGATATAAGGAATGTATAGGTACCTATAGTGAATCCTAAGGCTTATATCAATTTGTCTCTCTAAATTTACGTGTCAATCATTTCATATTATTATAATTTTAACTTTAGATATTAGGTATAGTCATCATCATTGTCAGCCAGTAAATGCCCGCTGCACACTGAGCAAAGGCCTCTTCTCGCACAGAGAAGTAGTTCATACCTAATACTCTCTTCTCGCATTCAACACCGAACTTATTCAAGATGCGATTGGTGATTTCAAACATAACTAGATGCTATTTACACTATGATTCCCTTCAAATAGTTACCTACACAAGAGAATAATAAAAACAATTTATTTCGATGCCCATTTAATCTGAATGTGTGTTGTGTAACTGGTAGATTTAATTTTAAATCCGCGTCACGTCCGCTGCAGTTTTAAACAACCGATTGCCACGAAAACAATTGGCCACAACTGTCCACTGTCCACACACAACAAACACACATTTTAATTATCGAACACTATTCAACTGAAAAGTACAATCATTAACAACTTGTAATTACTACACAGGAAAATAATAACGTTTACCTCAAAATAAACAGGTACAGTTGACGTCAAAAATATATTGAATACGTAATAAATACCTATCTATATTTTTATTAAATTCTGCCATTAATTTCATGTGGTTAGATAACAATTTGTGTGAATCAAATGTGATGGTATAATAATTGATGAATAAATAGTTTTTTTGTGACTAACCAATACTTTGTTTTATATTTGGCAGTTTGCATTGTATTGATTAAAAACATGTTTTTCTTTTAATCTGACATAATATACAAAACAATAGTTTACTCAAGCAAGAGATTTCTATCTCTGAAATAACTGCGCGACTATTACCGCGTTGTTTGTCTCGCATCGGTGCTCGTGAATATGAAGCCCTTAGCGTGGCTTGAAACTAGTCGTGTTACATTGATAAACCGTTAAAAACTATTTATTTTGATTGTAGGGTAATAATAATCAGTAGTGATGCTGTGATTAAACTATCCATTGATTTCAGCACTCTTCTTAAAGTAGTAACTTTAACTTGTAAAACAAGAAAATAATGTTAATAAAAATATAAATACGTACAAATAATATTATATTATTGTCTAGCACAAAATGTATAACATTTAAATTATTAATGCAGATTGATTTATTCATACCTGGCTGTTTCCCATTGTTGTTCTAATTGCCGACGACGGACCGCGCGGCAAGACGGAGGCGTGTCGCCCCGCCCACCGTTCCCAAAACTCTTTGTGCTCGACTGTACTTGTGTAAATTCATTTATTTTTCACGCTCATTGTACTTACGCCCTGCAGTTTATTTTATGTTTGCATTGTCTGTTTAACTGTACTCTGTGGAAGGCGTGACTTTATTTAGTGTTTATTTATGTAGAGAGAATATTTATTTGAATTTGTAAATGTGGACTATATTCTGGTTATGTTAGAAGTTCCCTGTGAAGAATGGGAAATTTATTACCATATATTGGGAGCTATTCAAATATTCTAGATTCTTTACCACTGCTAACCATTTAACAGGATTACATAGCATACATGTGTAAGGTTTGTTAAAAAAGTTACTACTACCTACACACAAAAACAAATGCGAACACAAAAATGCATTAGGTAGACGTGAAAATCAAGAGAAGCAACCCTAAAAATATACCACCGACATTGTAAACCTAACTTTGTAAGACTAGCTTAGTAAACATTTGTTCGATGAACTTCAAAAAACGTGACGAAAGAAATAACACAAAATAATAATAAAGCGATAATACATATAAAACAAGAATCAAAGGGAGCGTTATGTTTACGGAGTTTCCATGTAAAATAACTTCGGTATTGAATTAGAGACTTTGTGTGGAAAACTGTTCACAAAATATTTTGGCCTCACAAAGAAGGTATTAGGCGACAAGGGGGAATATAATTTTATGCAAATCGACGCCGCCGCCGCCGGCTGACTTTCGCACTGCTCCTGAATTTGTTTATATCTGCCGGGAAACAAGCGTCGTACTTGGCTTTCGTCGACTCGATCGATGTCACTGTTGTACTTAACTACGCTACTTCTAAATGCCACGAAATGTATAAAGTTACAAACGATGTTATTGTTACAATTTCTTTTTATTTTTTGTATTTTACATTTTTGCTTATATTGCTAATGTACTCAGCATTAGCAAAAATAAAAAATGTGTAAAAATTGTATAAAGGCGATCTCTTCCTGACCATCTTTGGATGAACAGAAACTGTTAGCAATGCCTATTATACGTAGTTTATCATTATTACCTATTACTACTAAC